ACTGATTTTTTATCTATTTTTAAATATATATAACATATCTTTAAAGAGAAAATATCACCGCCTATTGAGAGGAAGTGGCCAAAGAACAGTAAAAATTGATTACATATTACATATGGATTGGGTTGATAGAAAGAGGAAGAGTAGTACTATGGATTGGGCTTAATTGGGCTGATAGGAAGAGAGAGTAGTACTGAAAATTGATTACATATGGACTCGACTGATAAGAATAGTAGTACTAATTTTTTTAAGAAAAAAAAAATTGGACCTAAGTAATAGCCCAGATTAGCCCATTAAAAGCTCTGCCTATGCTGCTCACAAATATCCCTTGTTTTTCCTCCAACCAATGGGTCCAACCTTGCTTGGTTTTGGCCCGGTACCCCCAGCCATAGTTTCATACTGTGGCTGGCAATACCGAGTCGTCTCTCCATCCTCAACCAGAAAGCCTTAGACGACTTGCATTTTTTCAATATTGGTTCTCTCTGCCTGTCAGCTATAGTTACATTTTCTTATCCATCAAAATATACTTGCTTGCTTTAACCTTCAAAATAATAATAATAAGAATAATAATAATTAACAAATAAATGAATAAATACTAAATAAATAAAGGTTGATGCATGCAAGTGAATATGTGTGCACGTATAACTGCAGAAGAATTGCGGGACAAATCTCCTTTGGCAGAGGGCACACTTGAACAACACATAGCTCTCAATGCGTGTCTAATGGGCAACCTGCCAATGGAGTGTTTGCCCTGTAATACAGCTGCACCAGAAGTTGTGGTTGATCTTGATTGACTCCAAACCTCGCATTCATTTATATATACATGAGAGCGCGATAATGATCGATGGAGCTATAGGTACGTAGCTTCAATATGCCATCACAAAAGTAGCATATCCTTGTGTTGTCTGAATGAAGGCTCCATCGGACACCATTTATGCCCTGTACCTCTTGACACTCTCTCCAACTGTACAAATTTTCATTCTAAAGGTTAAATTCGATCTCTACATGCAATTTAACTACAGTATATCAAGAGAAACTAATTATATTCAATGGAGTCTCTGGAGTACATGAACTACTCCTAATGAAGAGCATTATATATGGTACCAGAAACAAAATATTATTGTACTTAAAAGACTTGGTACCAATCAATGTAATATAAGCACCCCCCTTTTTTTTTTTTTTTTCTAGAACTAGTAAAGTAGAGCATCAATTTAGTGATGCATTTTCAATGTAACATGGTTATCGAGCTATCTGAGAAAATTAAATTCAAATCCAAAAAATAATCAAAAAAAACTATGGATGCTGTAAGATGAGATACCTATTCGGAGTATGTTCTCACCACGTTTACAGTCTACATGCAATTTCCCTATCATGGTCCCCCAATTGGATTCTACAAAAAGTAGATAGATTTTGTGTACGCGAAAGCTCGGGAATGTATATTTGTATGTTTATTTCGTGCATTCTTTGCCCGTGTGATGTGTATACAAGTACAAATATAAAATTTAATTAGATGCATGAATAGTTCATTTCTAGAATGATTGATGACAGTCTTATGTGAAGAACGTATACTCCATTGATGGTTGATCATGCTTGCTATGATCTCTGAATAAAATCCTATTAGTCAATAGAATGAAGAATGTTTTATATGATTTAACATTTCCAATAATAAACCAAAAGACAAAAATAATTTCGGAGCACAAATCACTACGCTAAAGCTTAAGTTTTGCTCAATGGGTCGAAAATGGACATATTGAACTGACTGAAATTCTATCATATATATATATATATATCAATTATATATGTCAAACACATAACATAACTTAAGGCCTGAAAATAATATATCTAACATAATAAGGTAAAATTTTGGTTGATTATGGTTAATCGTCAACTACTCTTTCCGAAAGCAAAGGAGTGTGAACGGACTGCAATTTGGGTATTTTCTAGAAAACTCGGATGTTGATCTGCTCCATTCCAGTAAAATCTGAATGCCCTAAGACAATCCAAATCATTACACCTCTGAAGCCCAAGCTAATTATGTGCAATTGGCAATATATCCATCCAAATCATTACGCTTACAATACTAAAGGTATTTTGACACGTGATACACTTTCCAATCAAAGTTTCTCATTTATCTCGAAACTCTCCAGTTCTCTATTGATGCTATAATAATTACACTCTAAAAGTAACTGCAAGACCAGCATGTGTCCAAATATTAAGAAATAATGGTTCCTCAACTGGAAGTGAAAAACAATTGTAAGTTCAACAAATATGTTGTGAAGCATATATAGAGCCAACTGTGATGTCTTGCAAAGCTTTGATCAATAGATTATTAACCGATTTCAACATTAACAATGCAATTTTCAAATACATGTCTGCTGGTACAATAAGAAAATCTTCAAACCACCCACTTACGCATGGTCTGTCACCTTTAGCAATGATTGATGAAAGTCAACTAATGATGAAATTGCATATGAAGTTTCGACCGCAAACAAATTTAAGTTTCTATTCTTTCAAAATCAGAAAATAAAAACAAAACAAATTATGTTAAAGAAGTGCACAAAACACGTGATGCTTTTTCTTTTCTTTTTATTTATTATTTTTTTGGATAGATGTATTTTTGAATAAAAAAATAACACATGCAAAAGAAACTCAAATCTCCAACCTTAATTTTAGGAGGAGGATATATCACTTGAGTTAATCCTTAGAGTCAGTTTAGCAAGAAGAAAAAAAGAGGGATAGAAGAAAAATAAAATTTAGTGAACAAATTTTCTTTTAGTAGAGAGGAGAAGAAGAAAAGTGATCACAAATTTTTATACCTCCAAATATGAACGGAAGGGAAACAAAGTTGTTATAAAAAAATTTAAATACAATATTATCCTTTATAATTATTGAATAACCCAATATTAACTATCTTTCTTTCTTCCTCTCATAACAAATAAAGTAAGGTATTATCGCATTCGTTCTTTTTCCATTCAACCAAATAATTAAAAAGAGAGAATGACATTGTTTTTTCTCTAGTAATTTAAGTTACATGTTATTGTATACACACACAAGCGCGTATATACGCATACACATAAACAAAGTGTTATACTTATTATATATAATTTTTTTTTTCCCTATTAAATTAGGAGGAGACACCACTCCATTAAATAATACCTCAATGCATATCACACTGTTATACATGTATAAGAAAAGAAATTTTGGGGTGGAACTTCCAAGAGACGACTGCTAAGAGGAAGGAATGAGGTAGTTTCCCTTTATTGAAATTGTAGGGGTGAGAAAACTTAACAAAGAAAGAATAGTTGCCTATATATCTATCTATCTATCTATCTATATATATATATATATATATAGTCTAGAGACTAGACTAGAAGAGATGCAACACGTGGGTGAAGAAAGTCAGAAGTGTTCAATAAATAAAAGTAAATTTTGAACCTTAATTAAGTTGGCAACGGTGTGCTTAGCCAAACAACAATAATAAAACCTCATTGCATCATCCAAGAAGAATAGATATTGTTATATAATTCTTTTTTTTATCTTACAAACCATCCAATGGACCATTTCCATTCTAAAATCTTTATTGCAGAGCTGGTACTGACTTTCTCAACTCTCAACAATTCAAAACAGAGGTTTATTACCACTTGAATTCAAAAATATCTATGGGCACTGTTAGTCGTTGGATTAAATTCTAAGATTAATATTAAATTCGTATACACTCCGGTAAACACTAAGAAGAAGTTAATTATATATAAGTATGTTTGTTGTGTTTGCTTTTGTATTTCAATTATATATAAGTATGATGGATAAATTATTACAATTTATATAAGCATATGTATACTTGTTTTGCACAATAATTATAAGCAGTAGTTTCCGTTAATTATATTTTTTTCATTTAAAAGATCTCATCTGATGTTTATACCAAGCCCAGTTTATGGTACCCAAACAACAATGGCATCATGAATATGGACAAATCATATGTAAAAATAATAAACAAGATTGGTTGGAGAGAGGATTTATCTGACTTTTCTTAATTATTAATTGATTTTGGAGGATAAGTTAGCTGAGGTTGAGTATCCTTAAGTGAAGGACAGAAGAAGACAGAAAATGATGAGATCATCATCACAAATAGCAATATTAATATTCTTGTGAATAAACAAATAAATTACTTAATAAATTAAAGTAAATTATATACCATTGCCATTACTCTTCCTCCTTATTGCATGGAAAAGACCATGTGAACTAAATCAAGTGGGCTCTTTTATTTCCGTTTGAAGAGAGAACATCAACCAACCTTTTTTAGATCTGATCGAATTGGGGAGGCATTTGAATACGCCATGCAGCACTCTTGATTTATGATAATTCAGCTCCTTATTCCCTGTGTAACATGTAGGCTTGAAAAGTATGCAACCATGCTTAATACATTCGGAAATATATATATATATATATATATATATATATATATATATATAGTTAAACTGAGAATGTGGACTCAACTCAACTCAGAACAATCAATTTATGTAATTGAAATTACGTTTTAATCTATTCTACCTATGAATCACTCTCAATCACTGAATAAAATTAGCTTTCTTTTAGTGAGATGAGTGTTCCATATTTTACATAAAACTTATAATGAAAAGGAAATTTTTGACTGTTATAATTTGAGAAAATTTGTTGTATCATTTTATTATATATTGCCACCTATATTATTTACATTATTTATGCAACAATTGTATATGTATGTTACATTAGAATGTATTACGGTTACACTAAAAATGTACACAACATAAGGGATTTGGATTCCTCGAAGAAATAATAATAATAACACGGTTTGACGAGGGCAATAAAGAGTTTTCACTATGATCGAGCCTAAATCACTAGATTAGATTATTCAAAATCAAGATGAGAGGGTTGCTTTCACATTGTAATATAATATAATATAAGTTTGTATTATTTTCACATTTGCTTGCACGTCCTCTATAAAAAATACCACTGCCCATCTGTCACCATTTGCACCCATATTAAGAGGATCAAACTATCTTTCACCAGTTCCCACTTCTCTTCCTCTTCTCTCCTCCATCCATCTTCTTCTCTCAATTCAAATTGATCCATCTCAGCTTGGCTCAACATGGATGATAAATTGACCAGAATCTCATTTCCAAACAAGCAAGAAGACGACGAAACTGCGCCGGAAAATAGTGGTGATTCGCCGCGTTCCGACGTGATTAACGACGGCAAAATTGTTTCTGTCTCCACCCCAAAAAGAAGGTTAGTTAGTCTGTGCATACATAATACAACACAACCATGTTCTTATTTTACCGGAAATATGTCAGATTCCGGTGATTAAAGTTTTTTATCTTCGTTTTGAATTGGATTTTTGAACTCGAATTTTGTTCTGTGGAGATTTCAATTTCTAGTGCATGTGCATGATAGAATTTGTTGGTAATACGTTGTGGGATTTGTTTTAGTAGGCGAGCTATACAGAAAAGAGTAGTATCAGTGCCAATCAGAGACGTAGAAGGGTGTCGGATCAAAGGTGAGATTGGAACTCCACCGTATGATTCTTGGGCCTGGAGGAAGTACGGACAGAAGCCCATCAAAGGCTCTCCTTACCCCAGGTAAGACGGAGTTATGTTTCGGTGTATCACATCACACTGTAGGATTTAATTGCCGGAGAAAGGTAGTCAATGGCCTGATTGAACTCCATGATTTGGCAGAGGGTACTACAGGTGCAGTAGCTCAAAGGGTTGTCCAGCAAGAAAGCAAGTAGAGAGGAGCAGTGTGGACCCCACCATGATACTGATCACGTACTCCTGTGAGCACAACCACCCTTGGCCCGCAACCAAAAACAACCACCGCCACCACCACAACACCATCGCGGTTACCTCCGCCGTAACAACCAACGTGACAGTTTCAAATTCCGATAACGGAGATACTCCGATCTTTGCTAACCAAATTGAAGCTGAACCAGACGAAAGTTTTCCCAATTTAGGTGATGAGTCGCTGATTACTGGGGATGGGACTTGGTATTCGCAACTGGAATTGTCGGCGTCTTCAACCATGCTCGATAGCCCAATTTTGGGGGCAAACGTGGACGACGATGCCGACATGGCGATGGTTTTTCCGACGACGGAGGTGGACGAGTCGCTGTTCGCCGATCTGGGCGAGTTGCCGGAGTGTTCAGTGGTGTTCCGGCGGGGAGTGTGGGAAAGGGAGGAGGAGGTGCGCCGGCGCTACTGGTGTGGGATCAACTGACACGTGTACTCGCTGACAGAGATATTACAGTTTCAACTTTCAACAAAGGAGTGAGCGTACCGTTCGCCCTAAGATACAAATTTTTTTATTTGATTTTTAATTATTTTTAATTTACCCAAATTTGTATGTTGTGAATGAGGAATAAGAAAAATGCTTGATGAAGAGTTTCACATTATCCAATTCTAGAAGGTAGAAATGGTGGCTGTTGTGCTTGTTAGGCCGAGTCGGTGCAAGTAACACGGGTTTCAAAGAATAATATTCTGTTTTTTTTTTTTCTTTGTTTTTTTGACACAAATGATATTCAAATTGAAAAAAAAAATTACATAAGTAGATTTTAAAACCAAAAAATATATATAATAATAATAATAATGAAGTGAATTTCACGCCGACCAATATTTTGTTTATCCTGCCCTAAGTCCTTGTATTGAAGGTTTCCATCTTGTTAGGGTACTCATTTGGCCCTAAAAGCTACCCTGCATTAAGATTTCACTTTGGAATTCCTCATTTTTTTTTTTTTTTCCTTTTTTCTTTTTTAAATTCCCTATTAAATTTTCTTTTTTCCATTTTCTTTTTTTCTTTCCTTAGAATGTAAGTTTCACATGATATCAAATCACAAACTGAGTCTTACAAGATATTTCTGTAATAGGTCGAACACTGCATACTTACCTCTTTGATTTTCTTATCTCAAGCATTAACTGCAATTTTTTAGACCTGCAATGCTCAAAAATAGAACACCAAGTACAATTTAAACTTTGCTAGTTATCTACTATGAAATAACATAACGTGAAGTCAATTTACTTTACAATTTGCTTCTACAATTGCACAAATTTCTTTGCTGGGCTAGTTTTTTCAATTTTACACAAAAAATTAAAAATTAAAAATTAAAGAAAGAAAGAGGGATGGTTTTGCATTCTTAAGGTGATAAAACAGAATCTTGTTTTAGTCATCATCATTGTCATTTCACAGCTTAACCATTAAACGTTTAGGAATACAGAGTAACAAATTTTCTAGTTTAAACATGGTACAAAAATTACTAAATTCAAACTACAATTTGAAGTTTTTGAAGGTTATTCTGAAATTATGAAGGTGTCCACAGATACATAACCTGAAACGACTTGAGTTGATTGACAGCGTACAACAACCTAGACGATGAATTTTCAAATCATTTAACCAAATCTTAACATGCCTGACTTGGCCTAAAAAGTCAAATGTACAAACAAAAATTGACTTTCAAACAATCACAGCTCATATAGGATCCATTTGACGGGGTACGCGAATAATTTTGGTGGGTAATTACTCAAACATCCATTATACGAACCTTCACATGATTTCATCACATGGCTAAGTTATCACAAATTCACACCCAAACATATGTACAATAATGTATACATACATACATACACACACACACACACACACACACATATATATATATATATATATACACACGAATAGTCGTTGAATCCAAGTATAGCCTTTGCAAATAGTTAATATATATCAATAAAATAAAAAATTAGAAGATGCTGTCAAACCAATCAAATCTAGACTTGCAATGTTTTATCTTCAGACACTTTGATGGCCTAAGCGAGATTTGCGTCTGCACATGTGACAAATGCATTTAATTGCATAAGATGCTGGTGACCAATGATAATCAGCTTTTAATCTACTTCCTCCTTATCCATATTAATGGCTTTGGATACATAAACTTATAATAGAAAATGACAGCTTGCCATAGATGATTATAAAGCACAGTAATGGTTACACTAAAGTTCAGAGCTTCTGCTAAAGACAGACAAATGAAGAGCAACCAAACAAGATCTTAACTAAAGGTTTAGCGTTAATACATGAAATTATAACATAAAACCAAGTTCAACTCTTCAATAAAACCAGAAGACTCAAATTAACTAGGCTACATAGTGGAAAGACATATATATATCAACATGCTGATCAAATGAAATATGAAACCAAGGAATACCGATTAAGGGGTCTGAAATTGCATTGCGTTATGCAAATTTTGTGCAAATTCAGGCCCTGTTTATCAACAGAATTAAGATAAAAGAAGCGGAGCACTGTCCTTGATCAAGCTCTGTGCGCGCGGGAATTCAAGTTTTTGACAGAAAAAAATAAATAAAAAAGAATAAACAAGTGATCCTTGCTTATCTCCTATAGATGGCCCTTTGAGAAAATTTTACACAATTATGGTGTATACAGAAACAGACGCAGCAGAACAAACAAGCTGCATCCCCATCAACAGAAACTGAATTCAGTTAAAAACCCTAGTTTGAGCAGCACCCAACACTCTTCATTGCAGACACATCTTTACCAACGTCAATTTTCTCTCCTTTGGAGGGAACAGTCGAGGCAGCTCCATTATCGCCAGACTCCATGGCCTTCTTGCTCACTATTCGGTATATCTGAGTAAGAACTTCAGAGAAGGCATTGTCTACATTAGTAGCTTCGAGAGCAGAAGTTTCCATGAAATAAAGTGACTCCCTCTCGGCAAAGGACTTTCCATCCTCAGTTGAGACTGCCACAAGATGTCGAAGATCTGATTTGTTACCAATGAGCATGACTACAATGTTAGGATCTGTGTGATCCCTCAACTCCCTTAGCCACCTTTCCACATTTTCAAATGTGGAGTGCCGGGTGACATCATACACAAGCAATGCACCCACAGCACCCCGGTAATAAGCACTAGTGATGGCACGGTACCTGCAAACTCAAAAGTGATAAGAAGCTCCAGAAACTGCAAAACAAAGAGATAGGACGCTGACATGTAGAAAAAAATTAACAATTCATTATCTTGGACAGTTAGCTCTCAGGAAGAGCAGTCTTTCAAATGCAAAAGAAAAATATGAACAAGAACTAGGAAGTCATGTAAAATCATCGGCCATTAACTCATGGACAACGGACACGGAATCATCTTGTCTCCATGTTTGCAGAAAATTGTGTCATTCTATTGTTACCACTAACCAAGCATTATACCATCATTGTCCAACTCCAGCAACCTACATTACAGTAACACACTACATGGAGCACATGTTCTATCAGTTCACAACCCATAACACTCCAATCAATTGACAGATCCACTTGCTAATCCTGACACACGCTAATTTTGTGAATCTTATCCAATAAATTGGGTAAAAACTGAACCAAAATATGGGAAAAGAACCATATCCAATCATTTTTTTTTATATATATAAAAAAAAATGGAGAACCAAATTTATTTAATAAGGGGAAAAAATGAAAATGGAAATGACTAAGGCATTGGAGTTCTCAGCCATATGCTACAGCAGTAAGCACGAATGATTCAGCGAAAAAAATTGTTTGAAATGATATACATTTATCCATAGCGAAATCATACTGGCACACCAAAAAAACTTGAGTCACATCACCTCTTATGATATATGTTTTTACGAATCGGAGTCACTTGAGCTTTTGTTGGAGACTCAATATAATTTCCCTTGTCCAAATTCTTAAATCTGAATATTTGATTACATATCACGAGTATATTTCAACAAAGGAGGAGAATATATGCCCATTGATAGGGATCAAGAAGGAAGACAAAGCCACCTAACCAGAGGCTAGAAGCCTAGAATCACCAATGATGTGACAAATCGTTGTGCGCAAATCGCAATGCATATTTCACAGTTTATTCTGGCCACTATGGGAGGTGTAAGATGATGTCGGAAGTGATCTGGTATGCCACAAGAGGTACGTGAGGCTCTTGATTAGTCCAAAATCTATAACATTGATGACTGGATGATAAAAAATAATAAAAAGATTGGAGGACAAGCAAATGAAGGCCAAATTAGAGTTATTGAATGCATCTTCTAGAAAGTTATTGAATTCTCAGAAGGTGTCGACAAGGTTTTGACACCTTCAGGAAGGGAAGGATATGGTACGAAAAAATCCCAAGCCATGCTATAAACTTTCATTTGATACAACTCTTAAACAAATTTCAAAGACATCAATGCATTACCCAGAGTAGCCCCTGAGGTGGGACGCTAGGAGGGAAAGATTAGAGACAGAGCAAACCTTTGTCAATAATAATTTGTACAAAATGGTTCCCCTAAGACTAAAAATTTGATTCAAAATTCCAATCTCACACAAATTTCAAAGACAAAAATAAAAAATAATTAATAATAATAATAAGAAGAAGAAGAAGAAAAAGAATGGACATGACGAAGAAGAAGAAGAAGAAATGACATGTCACACATTACTGCAACTACAAAAACATTCTTGATTTTTTTTTTCACTAAAAGGTCACATTCTTTTAAAAATTGTAAAACATGATAAAATGGTCAGTATACCTTCTTAACTTGTCTTGGATTAACTGAATCACTAAAACGGGAAAAATATGCTTTCATTTATTTAAGTGACATAATCTGATTTATCCTTGTTTGACAATGAAGGCAGGCTAGTAATATTCGCTCAAACCCAAAATAGTATTTACCTAGATTACTACCCTAAATCTAAAAAGGAAGTACACATGCAGAGCTATTCATCAAATATGCCCTAACCAAATCTTTGAAGTTGGAAAATCAAATCAATTATTTTGAAGCTGGCATAAGGATATGAAAGTTGGCAATTTATATCGTAACACTGCTTGATTTGAACAGATATTCATCCAAGTACCTGAATCAACTTTGAAACAAGTATTTCAAAGTTGGCAACGCTAGCCACAAGAATTTATTCTCAAGTTACACACAAAAATGGCGGCATGTTGAACACCACAGTATCAAAATAGCAAATGATAGAGGTAATATGGCAACATCAAGGAGGAGCCAGCGAATGAAGATAATGACAGATTGTATTTTCTCAAATTAATGGACCAACAAATCTAATGGTAGCCAATAATCACCAATGAAGGGGGTAATAATGATGATGGTATCGACGACGATAATAATAATAGTAATAGCAATAGTAATAGAACTAAAACACAACCACCAAAATTGTGTCACAACAGCAAATGAATTTCGCAAACAAATAAAAATAAAGGGTGAAGTACATAGACACCCCTTGAGGTTTGGGATAAGGCCTTGTAGATGAAAGTTAGCCTATTTTTGGACAATGACACCCCTTCAAGTTTGAAAATTGGACAAAGAGACCCTGAAGATGATGAATTGACCTTACTACCCTTTGAAATAAAATTAACATTTTAATTGACTTAAATACCCTAGGAGTAAACCCGAACCCAAACCCATCTCAAACCCAAACCCGAACCAGCCTGCGTGTATATTATACCGTTCACCAGAGGAGAGAGAACGGAGAGAGGAAGAAGGGAGATGAGATGGATGGTGGTTGTGGCCGCGATGGTGGGTGTAGAGAGAGGGGGGAAGAGAGGGGCAGCCATAGTTGAAGAGATGAGGTGAAGAGAAGAGAGAGGAAGAACATAGAAGGGGAAAAAGAAATAATCTATTTAAACAAAACACAGGGGGAAAAGAGATGCAAAGAAACTGAAATTCTTCTATTCTAAACCTTCTTCTATCACATGTAGATAATCACAAACATGCAAGGAAAGGAAATGAATCATCCAAGGAAATCAATAAGATGTGTTGAAGACAACTGAAATATGGGTAATTAATATCCACCTGTAATAAATGTACAAGGAATCAAATGGGTTTCATGTGTCAGTACTGAATTAAGAACATGTAAACACTAAACTACCGCTCGACTCATAAATTTTAGCCTTCTGATATGGTAATGGAGAAGTGCTGTTGCAAGTCAATAACCTCGTATTTGAAGAAGACAGTGAAATAGCTCTGCGATGCCCTCGAGAGGAAGAATATAAGAGAGAGATTGTGGTGATGGCTGCGACAGTGGGGGTGGCGGCAATGATGAGTCCGGTGAAGACAAACCCAGATTGAGTCCGGCGAAGACAAACCCACTCCGGTGACAGCGAACTAATGTAGATCGGCGACTATGAGACTGAACTCTGAAGAGCTCGACCATGTGGAAAAAAACTTGCCCGGTACCAGTGGCTTGGAAGATTCTGGCGGCACAAGCCACCGGCATGCAGACTCTCCGGCCACGGCCTTCCACCTTAGTATGGCGGTCCTTCCATGCCCTCTTCAATAGCGTAACCATCGATGATGTTGATTTAGATGGGTGGGCGGTGGCGAGGAAGATAGGCGGTGGCGGTGCGTGGTTGTGTATGTGTGTGTGTGTGTATATATATATATATATATATATATATATATATAAAGATGAAAAGGGTAATTTGGTCTTTTAATTATTTTGATATTTTATAATTAAAATTAATAAAATAATGAAGGGTAAAATTTACTTTTCACATGTTTTAAGGCTCTGTTTGGCTTTCAAATTTCACAAGGGGGTGTCATTGTCCCAAAATAGGATAACTTGTATCTGAGTGTCCTTTTAACAAACTTCAGGGGGTGTTATTGTACTTTACCCAAAAATTAAAAAAATAAAAAATAAAAAGTAAAAATAAAAAGATAAGATAAGAAAACACAGCAAACTCCTAATTGGGGGCACACAGAGGGATTAAAGGAAGATCTAGGTATAAATACCAATGAGTCTCTAATGTCACATTACAAAATAAACCAAGGAAGATGATGCTGACTAAAACCAGAAACAAAAAAAAATGGTAATGATAAATTTTAAAAAGAAAAACATGTTTAGAGATATCCATCAAATTACCTAAACTAAGCTAATACAACTAATAAAATTAAGAATGTTAAGGTATTTGTTAACCACCATCGCTTTTAGAGTAGATAGTAGTTAACATGATATCATAGTTGAAGGTCTCATTAAAATTGAAAACACGTGTGGCCTTCTTTTGATCCAACACGCATTTTAATTTTAATTATTACAAGAAGGAAGCTCCTATGTTCATCCTCATCATCACCTTGATAATTAAAATTGAAAAACGTGGTAGACCAAAAGAAGGCCACACATGAAGAGGCGTCTTCAAGGATTTAAATATTAACTGCCATACGTTGCAATGATGGTCTAATGGTGTGTCATTCACCAAAATCTTGCTTGCTCTCTACGTTCAAAAATATCTTGCAACACAAGCAAGAATTTGGTAAATGACACACAAATAGACCTTTATTGCAACGCATGGCAGGGTATGCCAGCTCTGATACCCTGTTAACCATGCTTTTAAAGTAGATAGTAGTTAACAGTATTCATAAACAATAACCCGAAATACTTCTTTAATCTCAACTATCCAGGAGGTATTCTAAAACCTTGAAGAAGCTACAATTCTAATTATCACATCTAAACCCACAATTCTTTTATCAAGAAGACAAATTTCAAAGCTTCTTCTTTCCCATTCATTTATTTGGGCCATATATAAATAAAAACAGGCATTCACTTGTATCAAAATGAATGGGAAGGAAATTGAACAACTGGGGAACTCGGAGTGCACGTCCCCAAGCACACAATGACACTCCATCATAGCTAAAAATACCTCTCTCCAACAACAACAACAATAATCAAGCCTTTTCCCAACTACTTGGGGTTGGCTACATAAATCCAACGTTTCCTCTCTCTCTCTCTCTCTCTCTTATTTCTCCCTGATTTCGCACCCCTTTTATTTCTCTCAAATAGGGGAACTCATAGTGCTTTGGATTGCACAGAGTTGCGAGTACTGAATATTGAAGCGAGGACCAAAATTTGGGTGGAGAACGGTGGAGACATATCATGTAATCAATACTCACTCATATATATACACACACACATATAAAAATAGTAGCTATGCTGAGATTTGGTTTCGAATTTTATCCTGTAATCAATCTTGATCTCGAGCTTGAGTCCGAAAATAAGCTCAAGCATGAGTTTTCGAAATCGACTAGCTTGTGATGACCCTGTGGGCGGATGTGCCGTGGGCGGATGTGCCGTGGGCGGGTGCGCCGTGGGCGGGTGCGAGAGACATTAATAGGCTACCACACTAGCGAGTTACGGGTGCACAAGTCCCACATCGCTTGGGAAAGGGAAAAGTGAAGTGCTTATATGTAAGTGTATCATCTCCAATTGGTATGAGGCCTTTTGGGGTAAAACCTAAGAGCAAAACCGTGCGGGCTCAAGCCCAAAGCGGACAATATCATACCATGTGGTGGAGTGGGTCGTTACAAATGGTATCAGAGCCTGACCTAACTGGAAGTGTGCCGACGAGGACGTCGGGCCTCTAAGGAAGGTGGATTGTAATGACCCTATGGGCGGGTGTGCCGTGGGCGGGTGCGAGAGACACTGTCAAGCTACCACACTGGCGAGTTACGGGTGCACAAGTCCAACATCGCCTGGGAAAGGGAAAGGTGAAGTGCTTATATGTAAGTATGTCATCTCCAATTGATATGAAGCTTTTTAGGGTAAAAGACCAAGAGCAAAATCGTGCGGGCTAAGGCCCGAAGCGAACAATATCATACCATGTTGTGGAGTGGGTCGTTACAAATGGTATCAAAGCCTGACCCAGCCGGAAGTGTGCCGAAGGGGACGTCGGGCCTCCAAGAGGGGTGGATTGTGATGACCCTGTGGGCGGTGTGCCGTGGGCGAGTGCGAGAGACACTGACAGGCTACCACACTGGCGAGCTACGGGTGCACAAGTCCCACATCGCCTGAGAAAGGGAAAGGTGAAGTATTTATATGTAAGTGTGTCATCTCCAATTGGTATGAGGCCTTTTAGGGAAAAACCCAAGAGCAAAACCGTGCAGGCTCAGGCCCAAAGCGGACAATATCATACCATGTGGTGGAGTGGGTCGTTACATAGCTTATCAATTCAAGCTATCAAGCCAGTCTCAAATAAACCTCAGCTTGGCTCATTTGCAACCCTGTGGACGGATATCTTCACTAACAACCTCTATGAAACATGGGATTATATATCATATAGATAGATTATTTTGTAGTTAAGTATTGAGAATCACGCATTCATCAACTTTAAACCAAATCCATGATTGTTCTCCTAACATTTATAGGGAAGAGAATAGTAATAGAATTTAATATCATAACAATGAAACAAGCTGGACTAACAACATAAACCATCATTCCTATGGCAAAAAGTTTGTAATATGTTCATCATACATGGTTCCATCTTAGTTTTTACCAATGTATTGTCCTATGTATGACAATTTGATAGCAAGAATACCATTCTTTCTCACATCGTAGCTATAACTATGTGCAGAATGCTTCTCTTAATAATGCCACTAGCTCATGTAGCACACACAAAGCATGACTACAAAACTCAGCAGCCGGTGAGGAGGGGGTGTAGTATATATAGAATATATATTGCAGGTTCTTGTGGGTCAGTAAGTACTGGAGATATTATACGTAACAGGTAGAGTTCGCAGAAAGGTTAGGCTAAGTTAAAGTCGAGGTTGGCTGGTGAAAGAGTGGCATTATGGAAAGCACCAAACACCCACTAGGATAGGGCTTTGCTAAGGGTTAAGTCTAAGACTCTAAGTCCACAGAGGTTCAGTCCAGAAATTGGAAGCTTTGGGACACTTCAATCAGGTAACAATGAAACTCCAACACAAAATCCCACCCCACACCAAGAACTTAATTAAAGTATAACCTGAAAAGCAGAGGACTTAATGAATGAAGCAAAATACAATGCATGAGTTAAGTGCAATGTGATGTGAACTTGAAGCAAAAGTGAATTGCCAAATCGGAAACTAGAACCATACCAGTCAATATCACATTCTTCGGCAAATATCATATGAACAGTATGTACCAAGAAGATGTTCAATAAATTTAGTATGAGTAATTCAGCTTCAAGTACAAAATACCTTCCCAATAAGCAAAATCACACCAGTCCATAAACAAGACTTGGAACATCTTGTTTATTTTTCTCAACTCACTGTCAAGTTAACGCAAACAACTACTAAAGAATCACGGATAGCAAGCATAACAAGCAGTAAAAAGGTAAGATCTTGCAGTCCAAATAACAAAAATAAACTTGATTTGCCTTCAACCAATACTAAATCAAAATACCTAGTATAATTTGTTTTATAGACAATGCCTAAAAGGTAAACACCAACGGTGGCGCATATCAACAACCCTTGACAGATCAGAATTAGATGAGATCACTATTACATCCAAAGCTCCTCACATCTTCAAAAACCGAAGCCCCTGTTTGTAATTTACTTGAAACTAATTCTAGTCCACCAAAGTCACTAAACAGAGATCACCCACAAGCTCTAACAGGAGGAGCACTCCACATAGTAATCATGTTATCACAAATACACAAAATCTACCTAAAAAAAAGGGAACCAGATCATAAAATCAAAATTCATGAGGATCAAAGACACCTCTCTTGGCCAAGAACATCCTAAATCTTACATACCCAACTCACTAAACAGAAGGCCAAACAAAACCCTAAAACAGAAACAACAGACAATCATATAAAGCTTCACAAAGACAAATATCTATACAATAAAATTAAAACCCAGATTAGGAAAACCGGAAATAGTGGTGTAAAGGGTCACCTTTCTTGGCCAGCAGTATCCCAAATCTGAGCTTTGATAACCTTGCTATCAACATTCAAGCTCCTGGTGGCGAACTCGACCCCGATTGTAGACTTGGACTCGAGACTGAACTCGTTCCTAGTGAACCTTGAAAGCAAATTGGACTTGCCAACACCTGAATCTCCGATCAGAACCAATTTGAAGAGATAATCATAGTCATCTTCGGCTCTGTACCCAGCCATCACTCAAAAACACTACTAATCACCCTCTCCCTTTGAAGAATAAAAGGAAGATCTATGTATAACCCTTTTTTTTTACTGTTTTTTGCTGTTAAAATGGTTTATTGTAAAACCCTGTCCTCTGTCTGCTAATCTAGTGTTAGTATTGAGTTTGAAAGCTTGGATGGATTACAAATTGCAATGGGAGAAAGGGAGTGCCCTTTTTAAATTGTAGTGAAGCATTTGTGTTTTGAGGGAAATGTGAAAGGACTTAAAGTCACTCATTTTAGTGGGTAGGACATAAAAGGGTGTGATTATGTTTCCCACCTTGGGTGGTACTGGATGTTTAAATGTGGATATGGATGATGAATTTGAATTTTGAGACAGCATGCTTAACATGAGGAGAACTGTTACTGTAAGTAGGCATGTTTCGATGTTTTGTTTTCTTGCTTTCAATTATCTGAAAACTAAAAATTGTTCTAAAGAAATTAAAGTAAATATATTTTTTATAAACAACTTTTTATAAAATAATTTTCAAAATTTAAACCAAGCAAATTTTTTTATAATTTTTAATGTTTAAATATCTTAAAAACAGATACTGTTATGAGAAGACCGTACCAAACAAGCTCTCAAGTTTCACAACTTCAACTTATAAGGATTACCTTCGGAAAAAATAAAACTTTCAACTTATAAGGATTACCAAATAATAAATGTATATTAGTCAAAATTGAACAAGCTGTGTGGGCTTTAGTCTCCGTGCATCCCAGATAGCATTAGGCCCAGATAGCATTGTTCACATATCTATAATTGGCTGTTAGCACTGTTTTTGCTTTCAAATTATAGAGGATCATCATTCCACTCATGAAAGTCCGGGAATATTTTATTTAAACGGCCATCATTCCCCTAATCCTTTTTTGTAATAACGATTCTCCTACTTATTGTAATTATTTTTACAAACATTTTCCATGTAAATTTTTTGTGTAATTACTTGGTACAATATAAATTATGCCTCAATTAAGAATTGATAAAAAAGTTAATACGTCACACACAAATAACACAAAATTGATCTAGTTCTGCGTAAAACTTATATCCATGATAAAAATTCAAAGAAAGATTTCACTAATAACACACTCCAAACTCTACATAGTTTATATATTGAACTATAAGCGAGTTCTAGAACCAGATCTATAATCCACAAGAGAGAAACGAGTCAAAACAAAACTCATTTTTCAATTCAAAAACGGATCACAAGCTGAAACAAAATTTGAATCACAACTTCACATAATAACGGATGTCCAGTTGTGTATCACAATATTGGTAAGAAGGCCTTTAAGCACACCCAAGTTGAAAAAATCACAGTAATAAGGACTAATGGACATCAATGGGGACTAAACAAATAGTGCTCAATATCCACCTGTAATGTTTATAAATTATATATTTATATATATATATATATTAAAAGAATTCTTTTCAGCAATGGGACTCACAAAAATGTGTTAACAATGATAAAGGCCATAAGGCCATTACACTGACTCATTTCTCTTTCTCGGTAGTTCTAATCTCTCTCTCTGAAACATTGGTTTTTCTTTTTCTTTTCAGCATTCAAAGCTTGATCCCTCCTTTATCTTTGAGATTTTGGTAGAATCTTGTGTAGCAAAGTTGGAGAGCACGTCGAGGTCGTCAATTTGATAGGAGCCAAGCATCATCAAGCCAAGCCTAGGGATTTCGAAATTAGGGCTTAAATTGGGGTTTTTTTTTTCAATTGAGGTATGGATGCTCTAATCCATTATTTCTTAGATTTCTTGTGAATTTTTCCCCTTTAATTTGACTTTAAGCATGCTTAATTTTAATTTTTGTAATTATGTTTGTTGGAGTTATTTATATTGATGGTGATAAATGTGTATTATATGTTAATTAGGCTTATTAGTATGATAATTTTTAACTTGTAAAGAAGCATGCTTAGTGTTAGTTCGTTTCATGATTTCAATTGCTATGAAAATTCATGTTATAATTATGGAAATAAATTTGTAAATTGTATATTTAAATTACTAGCAAAATGTAGCATGAGAATATGAGTTGTGTATTTTTGGTGATTTATTAATTTATTTGAAAAAGTATGTGGAAACTTTATGGTTGAATTGATGAAATGAAGCATGAAGCATTCATGCATCCATTGGGAAAAAAAAAGGGAAAAAAATGTTTTAAAGTAAATGAATTTGTTCTTAGGAAAAATAATTTTTATTTCAAAGGAATTTGCGAAAACCGGACGCCTAGCAGACGCCTAGCGGTCCGTGTTGTTAGTGTAATCTAGAAGGAAGTATGGTTGAGCTAACTAGGCCGGATGCGACGCCTTGGAGGTGTCTTGTGGTCGTGGATAGTTAGTCAATCCTTCATTCGTGACGCCTTGGAGGTGCATTGGGTCGAATTACACTAACGGTTTGGAAGTTGAAACGGAAATGTTTCAGAAAATGGAGAGTGACATGTGCATAATATTACACTTCATGACATTGTGGTAAACTTGTAATTGGTTGATATTTGTTACAAACTTGTTATTGTGTTTGAGAATGTCCGTTTCCCTATGGTATGATCCCGTTCACTTTTATCTATTCATTGTATGGATTCACGGGAATATAAAAAGAGTGTCTTAGACACTTCCTACTGAGCTTATGCTCACCCCATTATTTTTAACATTTTTCAGGACATGAAAAAGAGGTGACGGACGACGATCCACCACAAGTTTAGATGAGTTTGGGGATCTATTTTATTTTTGCTATCTTTTGTATTAGAACTCTAATATTTTGTAAATGTAATATTAATTATCTTGTGAAACTTTAGTTTAATTAGTATAATATTGTAAACTATGGACTATTAAATTTTAGTTACATTTTATGGACTGTAACTTGATGTAACTAGAGTGTACTCCTTGTTTGGATGAGATGGAGGAAGGGGACATTTCATTTGTATGTAACTATCTTGGGAATGTGATATAATATCTGTATTGTGCGTTGGGACAGGACAGGTTATTTTTAAGGCCCAGTGAGGCCATTGCATCTTTTTTTTGTATTTCAATAGGTTGTAGAGGGACTTTTTCTGCGGAGGTCGTGCCGAAATTTTATAGATTTTATTATTATTATTTTGGTATATTTTTGGGTCGTTACAAATTTAGTATCAGAGCGATGGTTCAAATATCATTAGGACGATGGGTAGAGGCCTACCTAGGATTGCATGGGGAGTTGAGTTATTTGTTTACTTGCTTAATTGTTTACATGATTGCATGCTTATATGCTTATGTGTTAAGGTGTTTAATTATTTGAAAGGCATGCTTAATTATTTAACTGCTTATATAATTACGTGCTAAGTGTTTAATGTTTTTGTATATTACTAGCATGATCGTATTTATCATTAGTTGGGTTCTGGGAGTATGGAAGGTGTTTATGTGTTTCTATTCTTGTTAAGTCATTCATGTGAGGACTCCGTTCTCGTGCGTATTTTAGTGCCATCGTAATTGATCCGTTTCCTTTTTCTTATAGCATCATGCCACCACGAAGGGATCTCGAGGAAAGTTCTAGCTTCAATCCCGTGGAAAGGGATCAGGAGCAAATTGAAGATGATATCTTGTTGCATGATTTGGTCACACCAAGGGGGGACAAGCGATGGAGACCGTTTATCCACCTTTCAGATGAATGAGAAACAGTTGCAGTTAGCCGTTCAGGTAGCTCTTTTCAAAGCATTTCGGCCGGCAGGAGCATCATCCTCATAGTTTATGCCACCACCGGCACTACCACCACCACCACCACCACCACTTCCAAAGGCAAATGAGTTAAATGATACTCTTTATCACATTGTAAAGTTTGTGAAAGTAATGCCAACTCTGTTTAAAGGCGGTCCAAATCCGCTTGTTGTGGATAGTTTCATGGATAGGGTGGAGAAGCATATTAATGCCATGAATTTGGCAACGGACAAGTTGAAAATCGCATTGGCGACTTATAATTTTGTTAGTGATGCTGAGATATGGTCAAAGACCGTTTCTCACCCATAATATGGACATAATGACTTATGATACATTCAAGAAGTTGTACTATGAGAAGTACTTTCCAGCGCTTAAGCAGAAGGAACTAAAGAAGGAGTTTGATGGGTTGAAGCAATGAAACATGATAGTTACAGAATATGAGAACAAGTTTACATCGCTTTTGAGATTTGCACCGGGGATTGCAAATGATGAAGAAGGAAAGATAAAGAAATTTGTTGATGTCCCTGATCTTACTATCAGGCCAATTGTAGCTGCCTCAGAACCGACAGAGTATGCAAAAGCAGTGTAAAAAGCTTTAGTGGTTGAGGCTAAAAGTAGGGACAGTAAGGCTATCAAGGAGTCCTACTAGCATAACAGGGGTATGAGTGCTTTCTCCGAGGGACAATCAAGTAAGAAGCAGAAACATGAGTAGTCAAGGTTCAGGGGACAACAGCCAGTCAGATCCGCACCCACAGCTTCAGTGTCCATGGGGTCTTCTAGACCGAATGTTACTTGTTTTAGATGTGGGCAGCCGGGACATTACAAGTCCCAATGCACTCAGGCTCAGGTAGCTCAAGTGATTTGTTTCAAGTGTGGGCAGTCAAGGCATCACAAGTCTCAGTGTACTCAGATTTTAGATAGCGCTTGGTGGATGTTTCGGGTATGGCCAGCAGGGCCATAGGGTGAAAGATTGTCCACAACGGGGCAGTAGTTTGGGCAGAGGTGGAGGTTCATAGCAGAGGCAGATGCAGTCTGCCACAATTCAGTTAGGGTTTCGACCGCCACTAACACCTCAGCCGTCTCAACTAGCCATGTCAGCCCAGAGTTCTCAATCGGGTAAGGGAGCTTCTTCGAGTGCACCCACCCAGCAGTCTGGTTATCAGGTAAGCGATTCTCAGGGGCAGAGGACTAGGGTCGCGTGTTTGCACTCACTCCAGCCTAGCCATCATCCAGTCCTTCAGTTGTCAGGGGTATATTTCTTGTGTCCCATTCTTGGGCTCGTGTATTGTTTAATTCTGGTGTTTCCTATTCATTCATTGCTTCATCATTTACACAGGTATTGGGATTGGATGTTAGTCAGTTAGGCAGACCATTTTGTGTTGACACGCCAATTGGGGATTCAGTCACTCTTAGTAGAGTTTGTCGAGGTTGCTCCATTACTATTGCCGAACAAGTACTAGAGTTCGATCTCATCCTTCTCGAGATGACAAGATTTGATGTCATTCTTGGGATGGACTGGTTGTCGTAATTCAGAGCTGTCATTGATTGTTTCAGGGGCTGTGATACCCCTCGATTCTAAAGCCACGGGTGATCAAGTTCGAGCACAGATCCGAGGGATATCAAATAATTAATATGTA